GATGATCGTTGAGTGTAAAACAGTTTCAATCAGATGTAGCGCGACACGGGCTTGAAGGTTTAAAAGGAACTTGGCATGCAAACAGGCTCAACAGTCTTTTGTGTGAAGGTGGATTTCAATAATGTTGGCGCAAAGAGGACTGTAATGCAAAGATGGTTGAAAGACATCTGTTTCAATGAGCCATGGGAGAAGAGGGGAGCTTGTCCACTCAAAAGTTTTCAGGGTGCAGAAAAGTGATGAACAAAGGTTGAAGAACTTGGCATGAAGATGGGTTCAAAGGTTTTTGCGGGGAAGATTGATTTCAGGAAGTTGGCATGTAGAGATGTTCCCAACAATAAAGACTCCAAGCTTTGAAGGATTTAGGATGCAGGAAGATTGAAACAAGTTTATGATGAAGAGGTATTAAGAAAAGCTCTCGGGCTTATTGATTTGTTCAGCAGTTTTTATGATGCGCACATGTTCCAAACAAATCTGGGATGTGGACTGAAGGTTCAACCATGTGCCATCTCTCTGCTGGTTTGTGGAATGCGCTAATGAAACTGCTCCAGCAAATGAAGCTCCGGGGTGTACGGAACCAACAAGTGTTAAACCACAGAATCAGGATAATAAAGAAGGCGCTGTTGATCAGCAGCAAAGATGACAGCCCAATATTTTTAGCGTGAGCCGGTGCTTGCGGTCATTGACGACGTGGCAGTGGTCAGAAAGGACAGGCTTTGACTGATCATATTTGTGGAGCTGGCCCCCAGATTGTAAAGCAGTCCAAATCAATCAACAGCGGCAGAACGAGTTGCACTATGTGAACCAGCACAAGCGCAAAGCAATGACACGATGGTGTGGACAGAGTTCCTTTTTGTTAAGGTGCTGTGGCATTGCTTGTTGCTTGTTGACCTGATTTATCTGTACCTTATCTTCATACATTTATGCACATAGTTAGTTGGCTTTGTGTGGCTTTTGATTATATCTTAGTTTGTGAAGTAGTGATGAACTGGGTTGCTTGAAGGTCTGGTGCAATTTGTTTCGCAAGGTATGTTTCAGCGTTTCTTGTGGTTTGTTGCTTTGGCTTTCTACGGTCTTTTTGTTGCTGGTTTGGTCCAGCTGAGGTAGATTCTTTAGATGTCGTGGGTCGAACAAAGTTAAGTTGTAATTCAATTTTTGAAAGGGTGTATCGGTACTTCTTGTTTGACGCGCATGTTTGATGGGTCATGATTGACTGGCCCCGCCCTGAAACTGAGGGATGTCGGTCATGCACCGAAAGCGTACTGAGCTATAAAGGAGCGCATCGCGCTGAAGCCCACTCCTAAAGAAAGCTTCGGCGGTAGACTTTCAAGCCGTGACAACATGCAGGATCACATATTGATTGCATCATGTTCATGATGCAACAAACGGCGAGTGACAACGCCATCAGCCTTTCTCTAGAAAGCTTGAAACGGTTCAGTGAGATGGAGTGACCATTGCAGCCACTGGAAGCCACAATTTTTTAGTGTTTTGTCATGTGTCTACATTCTTGTTATTTTGTGCATTTCGAGCGCTCGAAAAGTCAAGCAAGAGTGGACAGTTCTGCCTAAAAGCATCGCCTCCAATGGGCGGAGCGTGCTGTGCTTGTCACGCTAACTACAGGAAGGGAAGGTGCTCTTGCCAGGGCCATGTGCGTGGGAGTGTGGCCATGAAGAAGGAAAAACACACACACACACAAAATCACGCTTTTCTTGTAGGACCACGCTTCAGAATTGTGTTGAAAATTATCTAGGGGCCAAAGTTGCCACTTTGATTTTGATGTTCAATTTCCCCCATTGTTGAGGGCAACATCTCAGATTGACTTGAACTACAACTAAATTTGACCTTTCATTGCTTCTTTGCGGCGAGGCCCATGTGGGATGACGAGGTCAGCTGGACTTGCGATGGCGTGGGGGAAGGTTGTTCGAAGGTCCCGTTGTCCCGTTCGCGTGCTTCCTCTTTCTTGGGGGTCTGTCTGTTGTTTGTTTGTCTGGCGCACTTTAAGGCTATTAGGCTATGAGCTTTCGTGTTGCAGGTTTGCGACTAATTTCCGCCTCGCAGCGGCTTGGTAAAGTTCTGACCTTGTTGTGTGTTGTGGTGAGCTGTGTGGGCAACATTTGCTGCTTGAAGTTCTTGCATAGTTTGACTTGGTGTGTTCCAGCGTTTCTTGTGGATTGTTTCTTGGCATTCTATGGTGTCTTGTGTGTTCTTCTGTCCTTGGGTACAATAAGTTCTAGATTCTAGTGGTAGTCCACAGTGTATATTGTATTCTATTGTTACTTTAATCTTTTGGGCCTTGTTGTGACTTGTAGAAGTGCGGCTTCGGGTCTGGGTGGGTGTGCCTCTGCATTTCTTATGATTTTTCCTGAACGAACGCTTTCCTTGACATATTGTTGCTTGTTGGCTTCATTGGGGATGCTTGTGAATGTTGTGGGTAGTGACGTGAGCAGAAGGGATTGTTCAAAGTTCAATCTGTTCCTTTGTTTGGCTATGCGCGCTCTGGCGAAGGTCTGTGTGGGGGATTCATTTCTGTGTTGGTTTCGTGTAGCTTTGTATTCTGCTGTAGGCGAGGTGAAGCTTTCGGTTCTCGGCTGTGGTTTCACTTATCTACGAGGAAGAGTTTAGGTGTTTCTTATGGTGTAGCATCTTTCTTCATGGGGAGCCCTATAACATGTTGTTTGGAAAGTGTTTGAGTATGGCTTGGTTGTATGTAATTACGGCCGATTGGTTACGGTTTCGATTGTTTGTTTTCTGAAGCTGTTGAACATGTCAAATGTTGATTTCTTGCTCGCTTGAAATCAAAGAAGGAATATATCGATGTACCTTTTGCCAACACTTGGTAAAACAAGCGGTCAAAAACAAACATAAATAAAACAACCAGTCAACCAGCCAACATGTATCAAACACTTTTTGGAAGGCAGTTGAAAACATTGCAAAACGAAACGCCTAACACCTCCATGTGGCAAGCTCTTAGTGAAAGAATATTGAAGACACAGCAACATTGGTGAACCAAAGGCAGCTAAAATCCGAGCAACATCAAGTGTCCTACAAAGAACGACTTTGGCAAAAAGCATTTGACATGTAGCGAAGCTAAACTTCTAAAGACCTATATGACTTTGGCAAATGCTCGAAACATCGCGAAACCAAGTGTGAAAGGTCTACCCTTGACAAAGGCTTGATGAAAGGCAGTTGAAACATAGTAACCCCAATTCTTTACCCGTGTCAAGCTTCCTCGCCAAAATCCTCGCTTCTCAAACCTTCTTCTCCCAAAGCAGCCAAACCTTGCTCAAGACCTCCCCTTGCAGATCTTTTGTCACATTTTCTAGGACTTCTTTGCTCAGTGTTGCCATCTCCCAAGCGCCAGTCCCGAAAGACATCGACCCGTCTTCTGAGAAAGGATATCACATTTTCTTCTCGAACGTAACATTCTCCCGCTGCTTGCTCTCGGGGTATAAATTGTTCTCAAGATTGTAGTTGCATCAAGGTTGTGCCTTGCTCAAGTCTTCTCCGATCTTGTAATGTGCTGGAGTCCATCTACATGCAAGTTGTCAGCCGTACCTGCTTCGGTACGAGCTAGGTTGAGACCGAGCGAAGCATTGATTCCGCAGGCTGACCATCATCAGCAAATGTCGAGCGAGAGTACCACTTTTTCATTTGCCGGACCTGCAGGACCTACAACATATTCACCTCCATTCCAGCCGTTGAATTGTAGATCAACACGACCGGCGCTGGCACGAGATTGCAAGGGCCACAACTTGTCTACGAACTTGACCTACTAGTTTTGTGCCAGAAAATTCTCCTATGGATACGGAGAATTGTCATCAAAGGCTAGACAAAGGACTTCAGTTATATCCACACCACCATAATGGGTGTCCCCTGCTCACATTCACTCATAATTTTCAATTATAAACTCAACAATGGAACAAAAAAAGTCGCAAAATCAGGAAAACTGCCGAGCATGAAATTCCGCACGCGCCCGCCCACACCCAAGCATGCACCCGCACCCAACCTGCCATACGTTTGCAGTCTGAAAAGCCCTTGCGTCCGTTTGGCCACCCGGCACTGTCAGAGCTTGGTGGGGCTGTACTGGGGGAAGTAGCCTAGTTACTAGGTCGAGACATTGCTGGAGATGTGAAGGTTGTCAAATGCCTCGGAGCTACTGACGAGCTTATCCTCTCCGTCTCATAGGTTTGTATTTGCATTTCCTGTTTGCTCCCTTATTATTAAATTTGCTAAGACTCTCCAAGGACATCAATCTCTAAGGACAGCAAGGGTACTAGCGCATATGCACGTACGCGTGCACGTTCGAAAACGAAACTTTGCCTGGGATTGAACACGCGCTTTTTCCAGATTGAAAACGCAGCGCTATCCATTCCAAAGAGTGACGGCACTTGGCAGACTGGAGTCGTACAGGCCAAACAATGAACGATCTCGATTTTTCTCAAGTTTATTCAAGTGCTCCGGCTGCAGAAAAAAACAAGGAATTGAGGCTAGCTTCGCGTTCTTTGCCTTCGAGGTGAAAAACTGTGGACACCGCCTATCGGCTCCCATGGCGGCGAGCTTTGGGGTCTGGCGCAAGTCCGCCTATCCCTCCAATTGCTCTCGCAAGGCCTTTTCTCTATCATTCCAACAAGATCAAAACTACACTATAGTGACATTATACTACATGTTCACTTCCCTTCTTCAGTAAGTAGTGGTACACGTTTCAAATTAGGCCCTGCAAATCCACAGAGACTCGCTGGCGCGCTTGGAAAGTGGAAAGTCGTGATGTTGACTTCGTCAAGTCACTGTCAAGACCTGGCCAGGGACACCAGTCTTATGCGCAAAACAAGCATGTCCTGGATCATCCAGGAATTCTAGTTTCAATGTCTCTTTCCGTACTCGGGCATTTCGGACAAAGGAAACATCATCGACACCACAGTTTCTGAACAACTGAACAACTTCTTTGCAGTTTCAGACACTTCTGACCATCCTTCAGTCTCGGTTTGCCAATGTCACCCGCCTGATTAAATGTCCGCTGCTCTGGCGGCTGCATCATTTGCAAATGCTGCAGCTCTAGTGAGCAAGGCTACAAGAACCATTGCAACTGACATAGCTATAGAGAATACGGAGACCCACGAGAACTCAAAGTAAAGAAGATCAAGAACGGCTACTGCAATCTCTGGCATATCTTCCACAAAGCGAAGGAGAAAGCTTAGTGGCTTGCGAAAATCCAGGAGCTGTTCGACCTTTGTGGTCTGAACATTCTCAGGCTCTTTCAGCTTCAGAGCAACAAGTACGTTGAAAAAGGGGATCTCCAAAGCAGCTGACCTTCGAATGTTCTGTACCTCGTCTGCCTTGCCATACTTGCCCCTCAGAATGCGAATGGCCATGATCCACAAGTGCAGAGGCAAGACGGGACAAACTACCGTCATCACCAGTACCGCGACTGGTCCTTCCACCAAAAAGCCAACAGCAAGTAGAAAGGCAAACAGCACAGCAAAATAGATTGCTGCACTCCATCGACGGCACGAATTCCGCCTTTGCTCCATGATCTTTGCCATTCGGAATGTATGGAATCCGATCGTCACCCCCACGGTGGCCCAAAGCGATAGAAGCGATGTAGACCACAAAATCTCGGCCAACATGGCACAGCCAACCTCCGTGCATCTTGGCTGCGCCTTGCGGTATACATCATAGCGGTCACAATTGTCGATATTGTCCAGGACCATACAAGTGCTGTCACTGGCCTGGGCCTCTGCATCAGCTTCGCAAAGCGACCCGATGCTTAAAAACTCATCGCACACCGGAAGCATGTTCTGAATACTTTCTGCCGTAGGGCACTCTGAAGTCATGATAGGCACTAACACTGCATCGCCACATTGTGTGTAATCTGCCACAATGGTCGCACGCTGAAATGCATCCACAGTGTAAAGGAGTGATGACACAAGGTTCGTGGACTCTCCGATCATGAGCAAAGCCAGCCTCGGCTCAAGTAGAAAAAAATGAAAAAGACAGGGTGACTTAGACACCAATATTCCAATAATATCATATATCCGGCAAAAGCGCAGGGTTGAAGTTTCCTTAAGATAAAGGAGAGAAGGCCTATTGTATGAGTTTTCCCGGGGTGCTGGCGCCAAGTGCTCTATGTGTGGCTGTGCCAGGATCGTGTGAAGTTTGATGGTGCGTTGTCTGTGTGCGAACGGTCTGTGTGGCAGCAAGTGTGACTTTGCTGGGAGCAAACCGACACTGCATGCATTACTATATTACAAATATTACAAAGGTGCCCTGTGCGCTGCGAGTGAACTTCTGAAAAATAAAGCCCTCGCGTGAGGCTTCGCAATTCTCTCAGATTGCCTTGCTCGCAAATCAAACTTTAGTGCGAGACGTCTGCCCCTTTCCAAAGGATCATCTGTTGTTCTATGTGACTGGGCTACTTTCTCTTGCAGTCTTAGCTTTTCTTGCATTAATTACGGAAGGGAAGGCATTATTTACGAGCTTTGACAAAACTATACAAAACTGTTGTTGACCTGCCCTGAGGTATCCCGCCTACTCCAGACTCCTATTTGAGCATGGCCTCCTGCACGTTCCCGTTTGGATCCGTTTGGTGTGTTTGAACGGGAAACTGTCACGACGAAATCAAACACACTAAAAACAAAGCAACAACAACAACAACAACTACTACTACTACTACTCCTGCTGCTGCTGCTCATACCTACTGCTACTACTACTGCTACTACTACTACTACTCCTACTCCAACAGTGACACAATGTGACACAAGGCAGGGGCCACTCCGTTCAAGCGGGCGCTGGCATTTCGTCAACTAGCTTGTGCAAAAATTGAATCTGTCAATCCTTCTTGTGGGGAAGTTTCGAAGTGTGCCTTTGCCGCGGCTCGGCTCAGATTGCAAGCCCTGATAAAATGCTCGGTTTGACCTCAGCCCGAAACACCGATTTTGGAAAAATGCTCCAACTAAAAACATCGTTTTGTGGACAATTGCAATCTCTTGTTTGAGTCTGTTCTCGAGACCATACTTGTTGCCATTGGCCCAAATCAGGGACCCCTTCAACCTGCGGCTTCGGAGTGAGAAACTCATAGTGTGGATCGCATAGCTGTCGTGCCTACTCGAGGTGTTTGCAAAGCGTTTCGGTGGCTCCGATGCGCCAGTTTGATCGCTTTCGCGGCAGATTGTGACTCGTGGTGCTTCGAAGCACCTTGTAACCGTGATCTACCTCGCCCTTGAAGGGTGCATAAATTTCACAAACTCATTGTGCCCAACATGTTTCCATTTGCTTCGCAGGGTCCTGAAATAGAACCGGAAAAAGTAACCTTCAAACATTTTGCGCAATGCATTTTGGAAACCATTGGCGAGAGCTCTTGAGCTTTTGATAGCTGGACTTCTGAGCAGGGTGGTTTGTAGCCATGCTTTAGCTGCAGTAAGAAAGCAAAAACATCGGTCTAAACATCAAGAATTTCATTGAGCCAAAACGGCTACCGTACTACGTGCTGGCCAGGCCACAGATCTATGAATGTTCTGAAAATTGTTTAAGTGTGGAAATGGGATGAGGCCTTTGTTCACTTGCTGACCGTCGCGACGTGGAAAGGAAAAACAGCCCTATCAGGAAGGCATTGGACCAGTTTCCACGCGCTTTGTGAAGGTGACTTCGTCAACCCTTAAGTGGAAAATGCAATGAAGATTTAAAGTGACCTTTGCGTTGCTTGCTTTTGTCGAAGCTGACTTCGTCAAGCCTCCAAAGGATTAAAACAGCAGGTCATACTACGTCAATCGGCTCGGTCACACAATGCTCAAATCTGCGAGACAGCAAGTATTCCAAGCTCTTGTGCCCGGCGAACATCAATCAATGTCATTTGCGATCACCTTAGCTTCATGCAAGGTGCCAGCAAAAAGTAACGCAGCGTTTGCAATTGAATCTAAGAGTCTGCTCAGTCCTTGGGTCAAGTTCTTGCTGATCTCGTCCTTAGCCAGCAAAATGGAATAAAATGGGCAACGTCATTAGCCCAAACATGCCCCAAATACGAGATGTTCGCCGAGCAGCCAAATTGAACTTTTGGTTGCGCTGGTGTCCCTTGGCGCTTTCGTCTTTGGCCGTACCATCACACGCCATCAAGGCTCACAATTTGAGGACAAAGCTCAACCAACATGTAGCTTTTTAAAAATGACTTCCAACCCGTGTAGAACACGTGATCCACCTGACCTCGCCATGACGTCGTCGCACCTGACCGAGTTTCTGGGAACAAGACTCACGATCAAAAGAAACATGAGAAGACTCAAACTCCAAGAGCCAAAGGCAAAGGGAAAATGGCTGTCCAGCCTCGGACTTGTCTTCCGTGTGGTCTGGTTGGCCTGGTAAAGATGCCTGGCCTGGTAGGATTGCTGAAAACATAATCGCCTGCAAAAGATGGCGATGGGATGTCATACGGCAAGTGCAAAACAAGCACCACGCAAGTATTGTTTCTCTAAAGTAATAATTACATTGATTGCTGTGGGCGAGAATTGGCGCATCCAAGCGCTAAGCATCCAATCTTGAGGACAGCGACAACTGTCAACAAACACGTAGGCTCACCGTTGTCGCTGGTCCGCTTGTCTTGTCCTTGCACTCTTCAAACTCTTCTTGGATTTCCCACCGCTTTAATGGTATTTGTTTTCTATGACAAATCAGTGGCATCAAGAAAGGCAATTTTTGGATCGGCCATCCTCATTCTCTGGCTCCGGTTCTGAGGAATCCTTGTCTTCGCTGGGATCGCCTGTGCATTGATGCCGCATGTGGTTACGTAGCGCAGTGTCTAACATGCAGAATAGTTATAGCCGTGATTTGCTGATTCCGATTCCTCTCTGCAAAAACTTTTGCGCATCCGAAAGACATGCTACATAGTGTACATTCTCTTCTAGTGTGTAAAGAATACTACGTGGCAAGAAAAGTGCATCTCTGACATGTGGGCTTGCTCAAAACTGTTTGCCAATGCTTGCCTGGCTCCTTCTTGTCCTTCTCCACACCCTCCGACTGCAAGCCCTTCAGTCAGCTGAACATAGTGTTGACTGCTCAACTTGGCCTACAACGTCGCTTATATTAAGCTGCAACTGTATCATCAAATCTCGTGACACAAAATGACTGTTGTTTCACTGTCATTTCCTTCCCTGCAGGTCCTGATTGGAGCTTTGAGGTGTGCCTGGATGGCCGAAACTGAGTTGCAAGGCCTCTTGAGGTCTTAAATTCTTTTAGTCCTGTCTCCAGTCTCCTGCCTTTGGTTCTGCGATTCTGTAGACAAAGAAATCACATTCTATTCTGACAGGTTGTGCTGCTGTATTTGGCCTACCTTCTCTACCATCCATCGCTTGTGCAATTATCTCGGGATCCCTTTGGCTTGCACGTTACTGTTGGCATGCTTGTTTCATTTTGTTTTCAACGCCAAACCTAAACCAAGACGGTTGGTGAAGCAACGATTAATTTATGTCTGTAGCAGGAAGAACGAACGTGTCCAGATCCCAGCAATGTTGGGTTGATCTCTTTGGAACGCTCTAAACAACCAGTTCGGGACTGGGAAAAGCACGGAAACTTGACCCACAAAGCAATGGTTTGATTGTATATAGGTTAGCTATGTTTAGCTGTTAGCTTCAACCTAGAATGCCCAATCGAAACGAGCCTGTGAGTTCACCGAACATGTATTGGACGGAAAAGGGAAGCACCAAGAGCACCAAATAGGTCCCCAGGACTGCCAAAGACCAAAGCCCAGCATCCATGTATTTCCTGAATGCGCCAGCTGACGCCAGTACTGTTCGAAAGGGGAGCTGCAGATTTCTATTTTGAACGCATCAAAGTGTCCAGTTCCAGCCGATCGGGTCCCACTTTAAGATCCTGAGCTGAGGTTGACAAATCTGCAAGTTTTAGTTGATCATTGCAAGCTAATGCTGCAAGGAGTCTCGACGCCTGAAACACTCAGCATCATGGATTGCTGAGCCTCTGTTCTGCTCGTGGTCGTTGATTTGCTCGATGTAGTTATACTGATCGTGCTGGATGTGGCTGTGGTTGAGCTACTTGTGGAAGAGGAGGTGCTGCTACTGCTTGTAAAAGTGCTGGTGGTTGTGCTGCTAGTGGTCGTCACAGAACTAGTCACGCTGGTTGTGAAGGAGGTTGTAGCAGACGTGCTCGTCATGCTGGTGCTACTACTGGAGATGGTTGTACTGCTAGTGCTTGTGCTGGTTGTGCTGGTACTGCTTGTGCTACTGGTGCTTGAAGTGCTGCTGCCGGTGCTGCTGGAGCTAGTACTACTGGAGCTTGTGC